CCCCCCCCAACCAAGGCTTGCATTTTCAAAGAGAAAGAAACTTTTGAAATACAAGTGAATCGTGACACAGCTTTATGTAGGCTAGAAATAAGGTGGTGTCAAGACAGATTTTTTGGTATTGTAATGTTGTTGTACTACCTTCAGTCTGTTGCCTGTGCTTTGAAAATTTGTCGACCAACAAAGGTTTCATGAATATTACAGTGACTTGCGGTATGTCAAATTTGGTAAAATTGAAGCCTAAGGGGCGAGAAAAACATTGAAAAGGAGATTTTCTATAGGTCATTTGATTTTTTGCGAGTCTTTTTGGGCCTCCTCTTTTACAGTAGAGCTAGATGGTTTGGTTTGAGCACTTAACAGGTCCTTTAAACCAGTTTAACAATGCTTTTCTCAATATCCATGTTACTGTCGTAAATCACACCTTGTAATAAGACAACCCTAAACACACCGGGGTCTGTGTATTGTCGAACAACGGGAGAAAATGTATTTTTCTTGCTTTGGTTGTCCCTAAGTAACCACTAAAAGACATCTATGCTGTTAATGTGTGCCGTTCATAGCAGGAACTGCTTATAGGGGTCTAGTATGAGCTATGGTGTTAAGTCTTTGTGTGACGTATGAGATTTTATAAGAAACAAAAAATTATTTTGTGCGATTGGTGTCCCTTTGCGACTGTAACCTGGTAGAAAATGTTGCTGATCATGTTCTGTACGTATTAACACGGAATACTGCAATTTAATTTAACAATACTTAAGATTATGTGCACCGATACCTGCACATCTATGGATGAAGCAATTGATGTTGTACGTATGCAATAATAAATATCAATCAACAGCGACTATTGGCGTATTTGTTTTCTGTTAGGTGAATTGTCCGTATTGTCAGATATGCTTTCTGAGGCTGTGATCAAACTCCTCGGCTATGTTATTCCATGATATACGGTAAGGTGGTGATGTACCCGGAAGTACTTTTCTAGCTTGGACGCAGATTCCTTGGGCCTTCGGTCGTTTGTGCTGGTGCAAGATTTGGGTTGTGAGTTCTGATCATTTTCCGTTTTATAATCGATCCCCCTTTAACTAAGATGGTGCTTTTCATGATATTGGGTACATTACCTCGTCATTTTCTTGCTATGCTTACCACCTCCTCAAATTTATTACAACATTGACCAATGGTAACGCGAATATTGGACTGTGTTCCCATGGCAACAGTATCCAAACATAATTAAGGCCGTCTCATATTTTATGTTTTGCATGTATTTTTACCCAGTAGTCGGAAACGTAGACTGTTTCAGTGGTGTTCTTTAATTAGCCGTGCAGTGGGCGCAACGCCGTTGAATAATTTCGTCTTTTCCCTCAGTTTTGCGCAGCAGACATGGTCCAGCTACACGTCAAGCGGGGAGATGATAGTCAGTTTCTCTTTAACACGACAGTAGACGTTTCGGTGGACGCGCTGGTTCAGCAGGTTGCTGCTATTTACAATAGAAGACTAAAAGTGGACAGAATTTGCTCTGGTGAGGTTTTTACCGAGATCATTTGCTATGTGTTGTGGAATTTATGTCTTCGCTGTATAGTCTAATGCATGTTCTCGTTTTTTCTAATGTTAATTATTAAGTTAGGCATAATTGCCGGTTGTATGTGCATTCATCCCGCTCGACTTTGCGTGCGAACAGAAATGACGGAGCTTGCCGACCACGGCATCACCCTCCCGCCAAACATGCAAGGGCTGACCGACGAGCAGATCGTGGATCTCCGGTTACGGGACGAGTGGGAGGAGAAGTGCGCACCGAGCGGAGGATCGGAGATAAAGAAGGACGAGATCGGACGGAGGAACGGCCACGGTGAAGGCAGCTCGACGTCCCCGACACCGCGTCCCCGGCGGTCCTGTGCTGCCTCTGCCGATTAATCACTTCCACCTGTGTACCTCTCTTTAGCTCCCAATGAAAAAATGAAGGAAGTGCTGTGTAAAACTACTGAAGAAGCCAAGGCTTTAGTTTCCAAGGTAGTCCTTAGGTTCATCTTGTGTTTGATATGTTCATTTAATTGTGGGTATTTGTTAAAGAAATGTTAATCCTCTGCCCTTGTTGCAATGATGTGCCTTGCTTTTTCATCTATAAAGCCACACATTCATTTGAACATTAACTTCATTTTAACCTGTTCTTTTTAACTTAACAGAAACAAGTGCAGGCTGGGGTGTGTGTCACCATGGAGATGGTGAGGGAGGCTCTGGATATGCTGCGGGGGGCTGTGATGATAGTGTACCCCATGGGTCTACCTCCCCATGATCCAATCAGGATGGAGTTTGAGAACAAAGAAGATCTCTCAGGGACACAGGTAAACAACTGTTTCTTGCAGCTCTTGGACAGGGGGAAATGATGTTTTTAGAGCCAAGTGTGTACTTACTTTTTCCACAGAAGGAAATTGCATATGTGTTAATTTATACACACACACACACACACACAGTGCTCCATTGACAGGCACATATCTTCCACACAGACGTTTTCTAAGTGTCATTTTTTTTTTTACTTACTCATTCAGTTCTGTTCTTCCCATTCCTCTATTAACTGCAATTGCAGTCACTGTCTCCCAAAGTGATGATAAACACAAATGTTTGGTGTTTTGTTATTGCAAAGGTGTCACTACTTAAAGAGCAGCCAATGAGACTGTTTGTCAATGAACTTTTTAACTCAGAACAGCTCTTTTAGAAATTTAATTTGGGTTTTGATTTAATACAATTTAAGATTATTCACGTAAAACCACTGGTTGTTTGTGATTTTATATATATATAATATAATATAATATAATATATATATATATATATTTTTTTTTTTCTTTCTTCAAATGAAGATCCAATGTTGATATGTTAAAAATGGGAAACCTTCATTTGGGGTTTACTTTTGCACGAGACTATATCTCCCACGATTCCTCAGGCCTCACTACAAGTGATTCCAGAGGAGGAAGCTCAGCTCTGGTGGGCGGGGAAGGAGATGCAGATGGGAAAGAAGCTCCAGGACTATGTGGGGAGGAACGAAAAGACCAAGATCATGGTCAAGATTCAGAAAGTGTGTGGAGCTGCATTAGCCAAACATTCAAACCACTCTTGCCTTGTCAAGGGTTATAGATTATGTGGATGCATTTATCATATAGGAGAGACCGGGGTCAGTTGCTGAATGGACGTTTAAAGCATTTCAGCAGCTAACCCTGGTGATATGCCTCTCCACTTCTCCTAAATTAAGTCTCTCAGTGACAACTCAGATGCTTAGGAAACATCATGCTAAAAGTATGAGCAAATAGATTAACAAATAGATACTAGATTGAATTAAACAATTCCTTAAAAATACTGCGGTAGTTTAATTTTTTATAAAAGTTCTTTTTAGTAAAACAGGCCATTTTATGACACTTGCAATGTTATGTTCCATTTTGTTCATAAAGTCAACAGCTAACTACAGATGCTCCTCAATTTATGATGGGGTTATGTTCTGATGAACCTATCCTAAGTGGAGTATGAATTATGACACGGTTGGGCATGTAGTAAAATATAATGGACCTAGGAAAATGTCATTAAAGACAGAAAAAACACCATTGCAATATGTTAAACACTACATGAAATGTTTAATCTCGCGATCGCTACAGAGACTGAAAGCATGGCTGGGTGGGTGCTGCCACCGGTCGGCCTCAATAAAACATCGTATGACAGATCACTAGTCCAGGAACAGATCAAAATTCAGAGTTGACCACTGAATGGTCCTCGCTTTTGCACCATCATAAAGTTGGAATATCATAAGTCAGACCGTCGTAAAGCGAGGAGCATCTGTAGATTGAACAATGTCCGACGACATTTAAGTCTGTGCCCTGTAATGCCCTCAGAATGTAAGTCCACTGTGCCGTCTCTCCTGCAACAGAGGGGTCAGGGGGCACCGTCGCGAGAGCCGCTAGTCAATGCCGAGGAACAGAAACACATGATGCTGCATTACTACAGACGGCAGGAGGAGCTAAAGGTAGAGATGGATTACCCCTGAAACTGATTTTTTTTCGTTAGTGCAGTCTGGGCATGATGCTTCAGCCTCATTCCCCCTTTCTCGTGGTTTGCTTCAGCCTCATTCCCCCTCTCTCGTGGTTTGCTTCAGCCTCATTCCCCCTCTC